AATAAATAGAGATAAAACGAAATTGAAAGAAAAAAAAAAACGGTAACACAAAAATATTAAAAAAAAAATAATTAAATAAAAATTAATAAAAAACAATTAAAAATGAATCCCAATAATTGGGAGAAAAAAGATTGGATTAAAGATGTACTATCAAAATCTGGTACAGATTTAGTTGAAATTAAAGATGAAAAAACCAAAGGTTAGTTCATAAAAAGAAATTAATTTTGTAATTAAATATTGGAAATATTCGCCATTTTATTCAAATATAATTGATAATTTCTTAATTATTTCTTAATAAATTTTTAATATAAAAAAGAATAGAGAATGGATAACTTGGAATTAAAAAAATGAGTAAAAAATAATTTATAAACTTTGTAAATCGAGAAGTTTAGAAATGTTAAGATTGTATAATTTATACAAAAATTGGCTATAGAAAGTTGTTGTAATATTTATATAATAATTCGTCTTATATTTATTGGGAAAATTCTTTCTTCAACGTAATTTAATAGACTTTTTAAATTACATTGGTAAAGATTTTATTAGTTTTCTTGATTAGAGCGCAAATGCAATAGCCAAGTTGAGAATATTTACTGACACCTAGTTTAATAAGTATATTCACTTTATATAAGGAGTAAAATTTACTAATATTTTCTTTAATAATTTTCATTGCTAAACATACGAGTATTTTATTTTTGTAGTTCGTTGTTTTCTGTTATCTTTAATTCAAAATTAAACTAAATTTTTTAATTACTCGGTCGTTTAGCTCTTATTGACATGGATATTTTATGCAAGCATTAAATATTTTATGGTCATTGAATTTTACTCTCATTACTCTTATATTTTTTTTTTTTTTGCATTTCAATTTCATTGAGATTTTTTTTTTTATTACATACTAATATTCAAGCAATTTGGATCTCTTAAATTTTTAAGATTTTTAAGAGTTAAATTATTTATACATAATAAGGACAATAAGGATATTATATATATATGTATTAAAATTGTACAAATTCATAATTTAAATGAATGAAAAAAAATTTTACACAAAATTTTTAAATGGCAATTTTAATTTCTAGATCGATTTTCAGAAATATTCAGAATATCTACAAAGCATTATAGAAAACTAGTAAACTATATGTGAATGTAATTTATGGAATAAAAATTTTAATAAATCAAAATAGAATTCTCATTATTTAAAATATCATTTAATACTGAATACACCTCTACAATTTCTACAGAAAAATTTAAAGCACATTTAAAAATACCGAAGGAATAAATTTTTCAAGAAGTAAAATTGATTATAAATCGTTACTTTAGAAAAAATGCGATTGAGTAATAACTCCAAATAATAAATAGATTGATGGTCTGTCTAGGTCTAAGTAATCAATAATTTTTATAAAATTTTAAAATTAAATATTGCAATATTAAAACGAGATTAATATTCTTAAAAATCCGTTTTGGAATTTAATGCATAAGTATTTTTATTATGAAAAAAGAACCTACGTGCTGATGTCCTTATAAAACAAAATTAAAAATAACCAAAAAAAAAAAAACAAAAAGCATTCAAATACAAGAAAATGTTTACAAAGCAATTTTATTCAAATGAAAAAAAAAGTAAAAATAAAAAATCCTGCGCATTAGTTTGAACTAAATGCTTTTCTTTTCTTCTTTTTTTTTTTACTTTTCATTTTACTTTTATTTACGACGGGAACTTTCTAATAAAATTTCTAATTTTTAATTTTTTAACCGCTTTTGGTCCAGATAATTTTTTTTTTTAATTTTTGTTTTGTTTTTTTAATTGAATACCGCCCCCCCCCCCCACAAAAGCGTATAAACCATAGGCAAGTAAAAATTACAAAGTTAAATTTCAAAACTTTATAGTGTCTATGGCTGTTAATTAAAAATAGAAGATTAGATTAGAACAAATCTTATGTTTAATTTGTATTTTTTTAATTTAATTATCAAAAATGTGTAAGTTCTATATGCAACCTGAAAATTTTAACGAAAACAATGAATGAATATCATATTTTATAGGATACTTCAAAGTAGAAATCTCGTGTTTTTCCCAATCAGAAAATAAAGTCACCAAGAAAGACTATTAAAATGTTGAAACAAAAAGAAATTTTACCGAAATCAAGCCATAATTATTAAGTAATTAATATTTCTTGAGTCTAAGTAATTAATATTATTTAAGTTCCATGTTGTTAATTTCGATTAAACTTAAAAATAAATTTCTGAATACAGTTGATCCATTATCAATTAATGAGATAGTGGACCTATTACAAAGTAAAAGAGATATAATAATATTGCAAAAACGCAATTTCTAAATCCTTTCAATTCTTTGTTTTTGTTACAATTACCTATAATCCAGTTTAGGATTTTTTATATTCGATAACTCAGTAATTGAACGTATTTCAATTACGTAATTCAAAAATTTCATCTATCTACTTTAATCGGGTCCGGTAAGAATTGAATTTATTTTCTTTGTAATTGAATATATAAAGATTTTGAACTTATTTTACTTAAAATATATTTTTTCGACTTAGGCAGTTTTATTATTTAGATCCTGTTTAATATAGTCTATATATACATAAATAGTTTAGTTTCATAATATTTATATTTACATTTACTTTATTTATTCAATAAAAATTTTTAGTCAATTTTAAAAAAAAAAAAGAATAATTGTTTTTCATTTGTTATTATTCGAAATTCCTGACAATAGCACATAAATATGAAACCTTAAAAGGATCAATCGTCATCGTAAATAAAAATATTTTTATATACTATTGTATTATTATAACTACATTTTCTTAATATCCAACATTCCATTATTTCCAAAGTAAAATTTAAATATATATTTTCGACAGAATATTTCAATAACATTTATGTATATTACAGACTGTATATACATAATGTTATATACAGATACAGATGTATATTACTTGGGACCAATAATTAAACCAGTATAGTATTAAACTTTCTTTTCTCGCCTGAGAAAAATCTTAAGAAGTCTTAGTTGAGTGTAAAGTGGTAAATTTGGGATACTATTTTAATTAACCCTTTATGACTTCAAATTAAAAAATTCTTATCTTAATTTTCCTAATATTAATTAATATGACGTCATAATAATAGCAAAATTATTTCTTTTAATATGTATAGTTCTATAGTGAAATCACATATTTATATTTTTAGCTTTGAATTTGAGAATAAAATCCCATACTGTTCATTAAGTAAATAAATTTCAAAATATTTGCAATTTAGAAACTTGCAATTTATTTAAAGCAAATTAAATATAGCATATATAGCAATGATCTTATAATTACTTCAATATAGTTTTATGTTCTCGATTTTTTCATATTGGTTATAAATCATAAATTAGCGAGAAAAGATTTTTTCTTATTCTGTAGATTATCAAAAATTCGTCAGACTTATATATTTCACTTGTTAATATTCTTTAAATACGAAAAATATTTATGAAATCAAAATTTGTTATTAAATTTTTATTTCAAATCAATATATAGGTCATTTCAGATATTTTTCCATTATTTGACTCTGTATATACATATGTGTAAGTATATAAGTTTATACATATGTATTTAAAGTGTAATAAAATTTTAAATAAATGTTGTCAAATTCCAATTATTTGCTTTTGCACAATTAATCTAATTTATGGAACATGCAAATATAAATGCTTATATACTTTATAATATGCTATAAATTAAATTAATGTACATCCATGCATAATATTATTGATTATGTAGAACAATATGTGCGTTACAACAATATGCATATATGTATGTATATAGTATATGAGTAATAACGGTTAAAATGCGCAACATTTATAACTCGCATTTTAACTTTTATTTTTTTAGATTTTTCTTCTTTATAAGTAAAATGTTATTTAATGAAAAGCGAAATGAATTTTTATATTATATTGTACATATATAAAAATTTTGTAACGCAACCAAAATAAGAAAATATCAACACAAAAAAGAGTGAACTTTCACTTGTTTTACATCATTATATACTTGTATATATACTTATTCCGAAATATTTTAGCTTATATAGGACCATATAATAAATTTGTTATGGACTATATATGCTATTGGATAATGGAAAAGGACGAAAATTTGCCCTAAATTTTTGTTCTTGTACAATATGTATTACATATACATATAGTATATACATTATACATTATAGTATGTAAAAGTATATAGAAAAATAAATTCTTTTTTATGAATGATTTTTATTTAAAAACATTTTTTTTTCCGAGTAATACTCGTACGCACAATATTTATTTATACATAAACTGAATGGATAAAAAGTATATGTATAGGCCAAATAATACGGCATACAAATATAAAAAAAAATTTAAATTATAGCTATATAGTAAGAATTATAATGATTATACCAAAATACAGAAAAATGATAACCTTAAACGGAGTATGGACCTTATCCTTAATTAACAAGAGTTTAAAAGTAAATTATAAATTTCGTTCTTACATGAAATGTATTTAAGTATATACCCAATTGACTATCAAGATTATCGTCTCAAAAACAACTTTTAATAGAAAACACATAAAATAACAACGTAGCCAAACTTGGTGCTATATCTGTATATTGCATATACCACATATAATAGTTAGTAGAATATAATCTAATATTCTTCCTTCACTCCAATTCCAAATAAAACGAATAAAGAGCGATCTAGAAGTAAAGAAAACTACATATACTCTATAACACTAATGTAAAATTTTAAGTGGAAAATTTAATTTGTAAGACAACATCAAAAATATATAGAGAAACTTCCATTTACTTTTAAAATTATTATTCCTTTTTGATTTTCAGTAAATTTCCAAGAAAATCATTTGCATAACTTTAATTAAACTTAAGGTGTAAATAAAATATCAAATTCATTATAAAATTTATTATAAAATTATTCTTAGAAACTATTTTCACTTCTATTTTAATTAAATTTTTCTTTCATTTTCTTTATATTTCAGAACTACACAAAATGGTTTATTATCCATCATTGCCACTGATTGTAAAATCAGAACATCATAGGCAATTACCACAAAGTCAGTTGTGTTCACCATTAAATGGTGAAACACAAATATATCATATTCCACCATCATCTCAAATACATTTATTACAACATTCATCACAGCAATCTTTAACTGGACAAACAACAGCAATAAATGGTCATCATAGTAATGGAAATTTAAATGGAACACCAACAACACTTTTAATACCAACAAATAGTTTTTTACAAAATATTAAAGTAGAAAATTTATCAACACATCAAACATCAAATATAAATAGTACATCATCAATATCATCCGTACCATCATCATCATCACTAATATCATCACACCAACAACAACAGCAACATCAGCTGCCACAGCAACAACAATCACAACGTCAACAAATTTTACATCAATCTTCACCACCTCCACCTCCAACTACATTATCATCACAATCAATAAATCAAAATAATTTATCAATAAATAGTAACAGTATTGTGAATAGTCGTAATAATAATGGTAGAACACCAAATGCAAATAAACCGCAATTTAAATGCGATCAGTGCAATATGATTTTTAATAGTAAAAGTGCCCATACTAGCCATGTTAAATCACATAAGAAACAACAACAACATCAACAACAATTACAACAACAGGATAATAATTTCTCACAGAATTTAATTACAACAAATGGAAATCGTTTAAATAGTAATGGTGGAATACTGTCACCATCACTATCACCATCAGGGTCATCATCGACTGCATCATTACCAACAGCCATTGCTCAAGTCAGTTCAACTGGTGCTGGTTCTGATCCTTATCAGTGCAATGTTTGTCAAAAAACTTTTGCTGTGCCTGCAAGACTGGTAATTGTTTTTATATATAATACACCTAAAATAAATTCAATTTTTAATTTTTAATATTTCGTAAAATAATAAATTTATTTTATACCATATTATAGATTCGACATTATCGAACTCATACCGGTGAGCGGCCTTTTGAATGTGAATTTTGTCACAAAATGTTTAGTGTTAAAGAAAATCTTCAAGTGCATCGGCGTATTCATACCAAAGAACGACCATATAAATGCGATGTATGCGGTAGAGCATTTGAACATAGTGGTAAATTACATCGGCATATGAGAATACATACAGGGGAACGACCACATAAATGTTCCGTTTGTGATAAAACTTTTATACAATCCGGCCAATTAGTTATACATATGAGAACACATACTGGTGAAAAACCTTATAAATGTCCGGTTGAAGGTTGTGGTAAAGGATTTACATGCTCCAAACAATTAAAAGTTCATTCCCGTACACATACCGGTGAAAAACCCTATCATTGTGACATTTGTTTCCGTGATTTCGGTTATAATCATGTTCTTAAATTACATAAAGTACAACATTATGGTTCTAAATGCTATAAATGTACAATATGTGATGAAACATTTAAAAGTAAAAAAGAAATGGAAGCTCATATAAAAGGACATGCAAATGAATTACCAGATGATGATGATCCAATTCCATTAGATCAAAGTCAAAAATCTGAAGCATCTCCAAGGCAATCATCTCCGTCTATTGTATTACAAAGGCCAAAAATAGAACAACAACATTCACCACAACCACCGCAATTATTACAACAACAACACTCACCAAAACCATCATCACAATTAATACAATCAATAATTCCCCAACATATTGAAATAAAACAAGAACCTAGATATCGTAGAAGTATCGAATCATCTTGTTATGAGACTGAATCATCTTCAATAACTTCACCACCTTCACCAATTCATCAACGTATACAATCACATATCGGTACTGGTTCATTAAGTACTGAAAATGGTTCTGAAATGGAAATATTAGAATCAGATCAAACAATCGATTATCACCCATCGAATTCATCATCACCAAATCGTAATGATGTATATACAAATGTATATACATGTTTTGAACAAGCTGCTGCAATAGCTGCTATACAGCAACAAAATCAAAGACAACCTACACCACCAAAAATTCATCATCAACAACAACAACAACAGCAACAATCACAACATCCGTCTATTAATCCAGCATTATTAGCTGCTGCTACAATAGCTAGTCGACGTGTTGAAGAAGCTAGTCAAAGAAGACGTTTAAATATATCATCACCACCGCCAGCATCATTATCAAATGAATCAACTGAAAATTCTAATGAGGAAAATATTGATTATTATCATAAAACAACAAAAGATATTAATAATCATAAAACAATGATGTCACCACCACAACGACGTATCGATGAAAATCATACTGAACTTTATACATCTGATTATGCTTATGAAACATTAGATGCATTAAGACAGAGAGCAACTTATTTTCCACCAGCACCATCTGTAGCAGAATATAAGTATGTTTAATAATAAAATTTAATTTTTTTTTTTTTTTATATTATTTAACACTTTTTTTTATTTTTCTTATTTTTTTTTGTAGACCATCCTATCGTAATAATGATATTGTCCGTCAAGTTGAAGCAGCAATTGCTGGTGCCGGTCTCTCACCACCACGTTCAACATCAACTGAATCACCAGAACGTTCATCATCACCGGAAAGTGATACAATGATGATGGCAGATCGTGATGTTATGACATTACCATTAAGAAAACGTAAACTTTATATGAATGATAGTCAAGCAACAAAAGAAGTTCCACAACCAGTTGTCAGAGTCAGTTCTGTTATACAATTTGCTAAAGCTTCATAAAATTTAATCCCAAAAAAAATTTATATATATATTCGTAATATTTATATTATATAAGATAATTTAAAATTATTCTGTACGAAAATAAAAAAAAAAAATTATGTGTTTTTTTTTTTCTTTTCATATAATAAATTCATTATAGTCTGAAATTAAAAAATCTAAAAACTAATGAAAAAAAATTTGTTAACAATCTATTATTAAATATAATTTTACAAAAAAAAAAAAAAAAATAATAATAATAAAAAATTGTTTAAAATTTAGAAACTTTTTCTTTCTTTTTATATAAATAAATAAATTATAAATAAAATATTATAACTTTTTATATAATTATGATAAATCAGTGAATGTGTATGTTCGAGTATAATATTCATAAAAATTTTTAATAAATTATATTATAATTAATTTTAATAATTGAGTACACAGCATATTCAAAAAAAAACCAATAAAATAAGAATATTAAAATTCAAAACAAAATTAATTTATTTAAATATAATTTTTGTTGAATCAAAATAAATGTAAAATTTAAATAGAAAAACAATAAGAAATAAAATTAATATTAAACAATAAAAATGAAAGAATGTCGTTAATTTTTCTAAAAAACAAATACAAAAAACAATATGAAAGAAAATTAAAAATTATTTAAATAAAATTCAACAAAATATTAATTAAAATAAAAATGAATTTTTTTTTTTTTTTGAATACCAAATTCATTATCCAATTTATTCAATTAAAAATGTAAAAGAACTTATACCAACGCCATATATAAAATAAAAACTTCATAGACAGAACAATCACCTCCAACATATTATTAGATTAACACCTGCAGCAGAATAGACCATTAAACTAAAAAAAATTATAAAAATTGAAATTACAATTATAATTAAAAAACACTTTCAAAAATTTATCAATCTAAATCCCATAATAAAGTAATTTTGAAATAGATCTATAAATTTTTGAAAATAATAAATGATACAAAAGTAAACTATATAAAAACTCATAATAAAAAAAACCTATTACTCCCCGATATATGCATATATAAAATAATGATAAAAGTGTAAAGAGAATTTCTACTTCTCTAATATTCAAAATTAGTGGCCACCATTTACAATAAAATATTAAATAAAGAAATGTGTGAAACTTGAACAGCTTGGAAAAAAAAAATACAAAAATTTATTTTTAATGCAGCGACTCATAAATATGAAATTATCACTTTGAATATAATTTAAATTAAATATACGAAAATCCTCAATTTCTTGAAATTATATTCAAATATATTCTTGAAATCTTCAAAATCCAAAAGATTGTAATTTGAATACCTAAAAATTAAAAATTAATTAATATACAAATCAATTATTTAAAGACCAATAAAACCGTATTCATCATACATGCAAAACAATATCCTTACTGAATTTCTTATTTAATCACCTATTATAAATCTTCTTTTGCTATATTAACGTATTTTTAATTGTAAATTTACAAAAAAAAATATTCTAAAATATTTGTAAAGTAATTTAAAAAAATTTTCAAACATGACTTCTAATGTCATATATGACAAAATGCACACTGGAATTGTGAATTAAAAAATCATTGCCATACAAAATAAAAATGTCATTCAAATTATAAGTGTTTTCGTTTTCTTTCATTAATTTTTATATTCTTTAATAAATTGTATAATTAATATCATATTAATAATATATCAAAAATATCAAACTAATCAAATTAACAAATAAATAAATACAATTTATTCAAAAATTATTCAAATGTGCCTTCATAAAAATGATGGGCAAATAAATTGAATTTTAAAAAAAAAATTTAATTAAAATAAAAACTCTTAACTTAAATAATTCTAAAATTACCACCATTAAGGAAAATAATTAATTAAACATTTATAACAATAACAATATTAAAAACATATTAATAACAATTGTGAAATATTTTAAAAACTAAATTAATGGAATATATTTTTAATTCCTACTTCGTTCCTGGTAGGAGCATAGGGCTGGTGCACGTTATTTTAGATAGCGGTTTACACCAGCTTCTTACGTCATTGAGTTTACTAGGTAGGTGACGAGCCTACCGTAAAAAGAATACATAATAAAAATAAAATTTATTTTAATTTACCTATTTAATTTATTTATTCGGCATTCTTTACATTTTCAAAAAAAAAAAATAGAATTTCAAATTTTATTTAATTACACAATTTATTTTAATATTATTGTATTATTAATTAAAATTAATTAATGTAAATTTTAATATTTTATGTAATTAATTTATACTTGTATATATTGTCAAAACTATTTAAATCGAATTTGCAAATTAAGAAATGTCGAATTTTCTTAAATTCATGCGAAAATTTGAATTTTTAAAAATAGTATACAAAAATGACATTATGAAAAATTTAATCGCGTAAATACTATTCTATTCGAAAACAAGAAAAAATTCGAAGTTATAAAATGTTCTTATTAGATTTGTTTAATTGTTTTGATTATATAATTCATAAATATCAATATTTTTTAATAAAATACATAATAATATTATATATATATATGTATATAAAAATATTAAAAATTTTAATAGCAAAAAGAAGAAAAAAAAAAAACAAATAAAAAAGAAAAATAAATTGTTCTTTATCAAAGACTGTTTCGAAAATAAGATTGGATTATTATAGAACTTAAAGATAAAAGAAAATTAACACAAATTAACATTAAAAATTAAGCATAAAATAAATTATATATATATATATTTATATGCATTCATAAGTATATGTATATTTTACGATATATAACAAATTAATTAAAAATATAATATTTTTAATTTAATATGAGAACAAAAATTCATCAAAAATAAATTAATATAAAAATTATTATTAGTATTTAAGAAACACATACAAAACATATATTAACAAAACAAACAAACAAATAAAATGGACAACAAAATATATATATATATATATATATATATATAAGAATTCTTTTGTAACAATTTAAAAAAAAAATTACTTTATAAATAATTTGGCATTGTAAAGGAAATAAATGTAAAACATATACGCCATCTATATTTTCAAAATAAAATACAAAATAAAATTAGAAAATTATTTTAAAATGTCAAGATTTTATGTTTCGATATTAAAATTTTTGCGCAATTAAATCGATTAATTTTTAATTTTTCTTTTTTCGATTAATTATTAAATTAATACAATTAATTATAAATACTTTCATTAAATTGAATTTCGAAAAATTAAATTTTTAATTAGTACATTTTTTAAATTGAAAATATTACTGAGAGCGAAGAGAAGAGAGAGAGAGCAAAATTACAAATTAATTCGATTTTTTGCATTATAAATCGATTTCAATTAGAAAATTTTAAAATCACAATCGCAAATAAATTTTTAACCTTTTCGTTTTAAAATTTATAAAGAAAAGAACAAAGAATTTTTTTAATTATTGAAATTAAACAATTTTAATTATCTAGTACTTATCTTTTATCTTATATCTTATAATAAAATTAAATAAAAATTTATTTAAATCAATTTTTTCTGTACTTCTTTTCTTTTTATCGATTTAAATTTGGATTTTTTATTACCTAGTAAAAAATTAAATTAATTTTATATTTTCGCCAATAATAATATTTTTTTTTTTTTAAATAATTGTTAACTTGTATTTTTTTACTTAAATTAAGTTTGAATCAAAATTTTTATTATACAAAATTTATTATCATAAATTATTATTATTATTAAATTGAAAAATTTTGAAAAATTCTTTGAAAAATGTTATAAAAATTGTTTAAAAATTTAAATTAAAATTGACAAAAAAAAAAATTTTTTTTTTTAAATAGAAAAAATAATTATTTAATTTATATTTTTTTTTATTTATTTGTTTGATTTTGTTATTTTTAAAATATTTTGTTAAAGCTTTAAGGTATCACTGAAAAAAATTTTATGCATAAATTTTTTGAAATAAACTAAATTTAAAAATAATGAATTTCTCATTAATTAAATTACGAGTATATACAGATAAAAAAAAGTGCAACACCATTTTTGCTGTATGTAGTAAGTTATTAGTAAATGAAGTTTATTTCGAATACATTAATTAAATTTATTATAATAAATTTTCTTTTAGAACAAGTATTAATAGTTCAATACTTCTTAAATTAATCTCAAATGTTTGTTAAATCCAAATATAGCCAAACATACGGAGATGATCAATAATTAATGACGTCCCTATAATAATATTTTCAACATTTAATCATATTCTCAAATTTATTTGTAAACTTTTCTTACAAACAAATTAATTTCTATATTTTCCCAGATAATAGAATCAAATTAAAAAAAAATAATTTTTCCACCCACAAATTAATAAGGAATAATTTTGATTTTTAAAAGTGTTTTAAATAACTTTTTGCATATAATTTTTTTCAGTGCATATTACAGTCAGCTTTCAATTAAAACTTAATATTACAATGAAAAATTCTACGAATCCAATTTTGTGCTCATAACCTACAATATTGATTTATAAAATTCTCTATGATTATAATAATATAATTAAAAACAATTATTATTATTAATAAAAATACATGTAATAATATAAAAATTTAATATTATTTCAAGAAAAAAAAAAAAAATAAAAAAAGTATGTAATAAAAAAAAAATTTTTGTATGTGATTTTCATATTAAAAATTTCACAAATTATATTCAAACAAAAAAAAAAATAAATAAAAAAATAATTAAAAATTTTAATTTATAAAAAATGATTAAAGATTTATTTTAAAATTATTAAATTTTTGTGTTTTTAATTTTTATTAATTTTTAATTGATTTTTCAGTTGAAAGCAATAAAACAAAAATGGTTCCCATACTTATTATTAATTTTTCAGTCAGATTTTTTAAAAAATGTGGCACTACTAATCAATATTACATTTCAAACATTATGAAGATCAATCGACAAACAGATGAATCAATATAATACAAAAAAAAAATATTTTGTATTAATTCGCATACTATCAATCACTTTCAAACAAGCTCAAACTAAAATTTATTTAGTTTACAACACAGAATTGCACTAATTGTCAAACATAATTTCGAAAAATTTTAATCTTAAATATATTTATTATTAATTTAATAGCAATATAGAATAAATTTTTAATATCTGTTATAAAGATCTTATTTTCAATTAATTTAAGGTAATTAATTAATTTAAAATACCTTGATTTCAAAATTACATTTTGCATTTTATTTACATTAAATACAAATTTCAAATTATTAACTGTTTAGTTCAATTGTGTAGCAACACAGTATATTATATTAACAGAATTAGTTTTTAGGAAGTGATTTGAAGAAAATTTTCATGCCAATGGAAAAAAATTCATTTAAAATTAAAATAATTTCATTGAATTATCAGAAAAACTAACAACTTCTTTAAAATACTCGATAATATTGGTAACTACATACTATATTTTTTTAATGTACTTATACTCTACAGTGATATAGTGTTTATAAATTGTGTCACAGAGTGTAACATATTTGAAATTACGAGAACATTTGATATTCAATAACATATTATTAAATTTAATTTCAATTTAAAATTATGATAAATGAAAATTAAAAAAATATTTTTAATTCATTTCAAATTTAATAAACTTATAATAACTGGCATTTTTTTTCTATTTTCTGATATACAATTTTCTGTACACTATGTATTTTAAATAATTGAAAGAGTAACAAATTATATTCATTACTATTTTAATTTTTAAACTACAAATAATTTTACCATCTGGCAACCTGCTCCATATCTTATTAAATTATTCAATTAAAATTTTGTTAATTTATTTTTATATTTATTTAAAATTAATTTTCTTTTTACATCAGTTATTTTACAAATAATATTTAAAATTTGAGTTAAAATTTTAAAACCCAATTGTTAATTAATTTTTTATTCAAAAAATAACGCAAAAAAATATTTTAATATTTAATTAAATTTAAAAAAAAAAATTTAATATAAAAAATAATTATTTCATATACATATATAATTCAATCAATTCAAATATTTCAAAAGAATTTATTTATAAAATAATCAAACAAAAATAAAAAAATATTTTAAAAATAGCAAAAAATTCATCCATTATTAAAAAAGAAATAAGAAATATTAAAATACTCAAATTATAATTTTAAAATTTTTAATTATATAGACTAATAAGAAATATAATAATAAAATGAAAAAAAAAATAAACTAAATTAATTATTTTATAAAATATTGAAAAAACAATATCTTTTTAAATTAAAAAAATCCCATATTTTAGCTAATGTTTAGGATTTTAGAAATAATAAAAAAAAAATACGAAAACATTTTATTTAGAAGAAATTTCAAAATTTTATTTTTGATATTGTTGAAAAGTTTTATTTAATTTTTTATTATAATTAATTCCAAATAATTAATTATTTTTAATATTTTTATTAAAATTTAATAATTAAACTATTTTTATTAATTTATTCACTTTTTCTATAATAAATTAGCAACGGCCATATTGAAATCATAATTCTGAAATTCCATATTGAATTTTGATTTTAACAGTAATTATAACTGTATAAAACAGATTTTGTGTTTAAAATTGTTTTCGTAATGTTTTTTTTAATATTTTATTCTCTGTTATCAAAATGTAGAAGAAAAAAGAATTAATAATAAAAATAAATCAAGTTTTAAAAATTAAGAAGCAAAAAACAAAAAAAAAAAAAAAAACAAAACGTAAATATTTTGCCTACATACATAAAATATAAAACCAAAAACAAATATATTTGTAACTTTATATACATACATACATAAAATTAGTAATAATAATGGACATATGACGGCATATAAAAATTATTATTAAAAAATTATATTTAAAAATAAACAAATATTGAAAATAACCAAAAAAAAAAAAATCTTTATACGGAAAAATTTAAAATAAAACATTTCGATAAAAATAATTTATTAAAAATATTTTTATTATTTAAATCTTTATAACCTTGGTAACACTAATTGCATAATGAAGCGAAAAAGATCAGTCACTATATTTTATGCTACATAATTTATTCTCATTATATTTAAGGGGAGTTGATCAATATACCACTTTGATAGTCCGAGCCAATATTTCAATATAATAAATCAATATTTATTAAAAATCCCAAATTAAAAATAATATTCGTAGCAAAATATGTGACAGAAAATAATTTCTTGTAGAGTACAATATCAGTAATCGCGTCAGAATGAAACCATTTCAAATTCCATATTGGTCTTGAGTCAAAAAACTGAAAAAGGAACAAAAAAAAGGGAGTTTGAGTAAAAAAATAATGCTTCAAAGAGTCGCATGTTGCTCCATAGCCGAAAATTAATTTACCCCTAATATATTATAATGTATAAATAAATATTTCTAAGTATTTGAAATGCAAAATTAAAGTAGATAATATATGAAGCATACCTTTGTAAAATCGTCTCAAACCATTTGTTTTTTTGTATTTTTAAGTAGCGGGCGGGGCCCACTCGTTATAAACTTAATGCTAGTAATAAGAAATGGCACTCAACAAGTGCTTAAATGTGCTAATTTTTAGGATAAAAATTTTTAAAAAATTATTTTGGATACAAAACATTTATCAATTTGTATAAATTGGTTTATGTTTACAATAATTACATGTATACATATGTACAATTTTTATAATCCATTCTAGAGATTCTACTCTGAACGATCTTTATAAGTATGTAATTTTAAATTTTACATCTTATTTGATTATAGAATTGAACTTCTTGAATCACATGCAATACTATTTGCAAAAGCATGCAAATAACTTACATTCGTCTCAGCTTTCTTCTTTATGTAAGTATATACACTAAAAAATTCTAAATTTCTGGTTGGTAATACATGATAGCAAAAATTTATTTACCGTTATTTATCCGTGTTTAAATGATTTTAACTTTTTATTTTGAAAAATTTTACCATAATCAAATTTATATTTATGCATTTTACTATTGAAAAACAAAATTTCTTCTAAGAATTAACAAGTTCTTCTAAAAAATAAAAAGTTTAAAATATCGTAAAATTTAAGTTAAATGAAAATTTAAAAAAAAAAATACCGTAATATTTAAAATTTCGTATATAAAATGTTTAGTTTACACACAAAATACTCAATAGATGTCACTGTTACTTACTTCAATAATATTATTGTGTTTCAATTTTCTTCTTTCAATATAATTATTGAAAGTTTATTGAAAGAATACTTACCCCTAATATTTTGACAGTTCAGCAAAAATTTCTAAATAAAAAGGAAAGATACACGATTTACACGACTACATAAATTTCATGTAAATTACGTTATTAATATCAATATTTTGTATTTTTAATTTAAACGAAATAAATATATATTTAAATCTGAATTTATTTTAAATGTAATAACAGTGAGGTTGAAAATTAAACGCAAATTTACATTCAAATTTACGTTCAGATTTAATTATAAATTTTATATTTAAAAAGTAAAAAATAAAAATACTTGTAAATCTCATTGCAGATAAATAAAGAACAGATGTGATTTTGATTCATTGTTTTTTAAGCGAGGAAATGTAAATATTGAATTGGACGATAAATACAAAATCAAGAGTCTGTGATAAGAAAATTTATTAAAAGGAAAAGTGTTGATAAGATTTTACAATTGAAACTTTAGAATATGCAAATAGTTTTTGGTACTCATATTACTTCATATGTGAAAGTGATTAATAAAAATAACCCAAATTTGATTTTATATGGTGCAGAGCATCATTCAAAAAATTTTGCTTACTCGCAACATGAATTAATGTTGATTATTTAAAAGTGAGTAATTAATTTTTTTTTATTCATAAACAAAAAATGTATAAACGATCGGTTTATAATTAATATTTCGCAATGTTTGCGTTTTTTCTTGTTTTTATTAGTCATTTCTTTATTGTTTTTACACTGTTTATTGATAAATCCTGAATTTCTGTTTCTTTATTCTTATATAGTCTTTATTAATATTGTTAATCGAATTTGAAGTGGCCAGCATACAAAAAATATGTCACAAGAAAATATAAATTCACCTTTATTGGGTGATCAACAATCAGAAACGGAACATCGCCGTCGTAATTACGGTTCCTCAGCATCATTAGAATCAACAAATAGTCAACGGAGGTGAGTAAAATATAATATGACTAATATCTATTTGATTTACTTAATAAAATTTTAATTTCAGGAATAATAATCGTGATTTATCTAGCTCTGATGATCAACGTTCAACTTTAAGTTTTTTTCAAAAAGTTGGATTTGGATTAGGTCATGTTTATAATGATTTGTGTGCAGGTGTATGGTTTAGCTATACATTATTATTTATGCAAGCTGCACTATTATTACCAGCAGTTGAAGCTGGTGCATTAGTTATGATAGGACAAGTTGGTGATGCTTTAGCAACACCAATAATAGGTTTACTTACTGATCGTTTTGGAACAAAACGACAATGGCATATTGCCGGTACAATTTTAGTATTTTTATCATTTCCAATGATATTTTCTTTATGTCCATATTGTTCAACTGCACCAAAATGGTGGCCAGCACTATATTTTGGAATATTTATAATATTATTTCAATTCGCATGGGCTTGTGTACAAATAACACATTTTGCTTTAATTTCTGAAATGTCATTAACACAAAAAGATCGATCTGACTTAACATCAGTTAGATATGCTGGTTCAGTTTGTTCAAGTGTAATTGTTTATGTTATAACATGGTGTATGCTTAGATCTCATAGTGGTAAAACTAATGGAGATAATATTGGGCCAAATGATGCTTTCCGGTTTAGAGATATTTCATTAATATTAACATTGATTGGTACAACAATGACCGTATTATTTCATTTTTCGTTGGCTTTAAGTGGATACGAAAAACGAAGATTATGTTCTTCAAATCTTATTGCAGAAGAAAATCAAGACGTTAACACAGATGTAAATCGTAGAAAATCTGTCAATGAATCAAGTTCCACAATTACTGTGGGAGAAAATAGTGGTGAAGATGATAATGTTATTTCCCCCTCTACTTCACAAGCAGATCCTAGTAAATTAAGGTATCATAATAATTTTATAAGAAATTTAGAATTATCTAAATAATTAATTTTTTTTTAGAAAACCACCATTAGTTCGAATCAATTTCTTTAAAACAAAAGCTTTATATCAGAATGGATTTCTTTATGTATTTGCAAGATTATTTATGACAACATCAATGATTTACTTACCATTATGGTTGGACGAAAGAGCTTGGGATCCAACAAATTCAACAGATATTGGACCATTTTTACCTACTGGAAACAGTACTATAAAAATTAATGACCTAAATAATGGTTTTCTTACCCCAATGACTCCAGTTCTATTTACAATTAAAGATATTGTTAACAAAATTGGTGTAGAACATTTGGCTACAGTACCGTTAGCATCATTTCTATCTTCATTTTTGACTTCGGTTATACTAAAACAATATAATAATCAACTTGGAAACCGTCTTTCATTTTTAATTGGATCTGTTATTGGATTGGGTGCCTGTATATGGATTGCTTTAGCACATTCTACGGACATAACTCCATATATGTTATATTCAGTAGCTATGCTATTCGGAGCTGGAAGTTCAATTACTATGATCAGTAGTATTTGTATCATTGCAGAAATGATTGGCCGACATGTTTATCAAGGAGGATTTATATATTCTGTGGTTACATTTGCCGATAAATTTATTACAGGTATTGTTATTGTGATAATTGAAAGTTTAAAATGTAAGGATCGAACACAATGTCCTCAATACTATAAAAGTATATTAGCTTATGGTTGTGGATTAGCAGCTGTACTTGGGATGGTTGTTTTGTTAACAACAGTGTGTAATGGAAAAAGACGGAATCAATTATCAAATCAAAATGATGAAAGCTCAAATTTAGTGATATAATCATATTTTGCTTATCATTAAGATAAATAGTAGCGTAAACGAAGACTAAGATATTACATACTTATTTTGCCAACTATATTGAATTCTATAGAAAATTCTTTTTTTTTTTTAATTTCGTTAAAGTATTATAAATACATTCCAATCTAAAATATTAAAAAATAAACAATATTGTTTTCCTAGCATAAAATTCTTTTGTAATTTGAATTTCAAGCCTTTTATATTCATTCTTAGAAGCTAAACAATAGGGAATCAAGTATCAAAACGTTAAAAACTGTTAAAACACAATCAGTTTTTTTTCATATTCAAGATTTTTATTTCAGAATACATTTATGTAAAATTTTTATACTAATATTTGAAAAATCAATTACAATCCATTTTACAATACGGTAAAATAATGAAAGCTAGTCTTAAAAATTAATAGCCACCTCGACCAGGTGGAGGGGCGCCTCTCATCATTCCAGGGGGTGGTCCTCTCATTGGTGGCGGACCACCACGACCCATTCCTGCAGGTATTGGCGGCTATCAAAAAACAACAAACAGTTAAATTCAAATTCATTCAAGAATACATATGTATAGAGATTTTATATTAATACGTACAATTCCTGGCATCATCCCAGGAGGTGGTATCATACCAGGTGGTCTCATCGGTGGTGCACCTCTACCGGGTGCCATATGTTGCTGTGATGGGCCTCCTACTCCTCTAACAGGTCCTTGAAGACCAGCTGGAACACTTGAAACATTTGCTGGTATACCACGACCAGCAACACGTGCTACACCTGGCCCTGGTGCAGCGCCTGGGATTGGAACACGAGGCAATCCCTCTTCTGGTGGGGGTGGTCCTTCAACTGTTAGTGAAACTATATTTTCGCCACGTAATAATACAAATCCTAAAACTCGTTTCTCTTCGCGCTCAGGCAATTTTGTATTTTTTGAACGAATTTTACGAAACTCTTCACAGTCTCCTAATATTAAATTCATATGCTTATCGAATGCTTTGAATGTTCCAATAAATGTACGAGAGTCCTGTAATACGATTCTCACCCTATAATTAAGGTGTTGAATCATTTTATTATTCTTCCCAATAGTCTGAAAATAAATACATATTACATGTATGTACTTTAAATCTTAGGATATCAACAAATTAAAATTAATTTAATTTAAGGTTAGAATCTATAAACGTTTAAAATATTATATTCTGTAAAATTTGAGTTTAAAATTTTTTAATCATGTTATTTTACATTTTATAAGTCTGTTTACAATTTAAAGCATTTTATGTGTACATTATATCAATTTGCTTTGCTACAGTGAACTGCCAAATATTGTAATCTTCCAACTTATTTATCATTTTTAACTTATCACCATTTAAAAATTTCACTTCAGTATGAATTTGCTATTCCGCTATGTAGCCTTAATCAGAAATTTTTCTACCGATATATATTTGTAATTTTAACGAAAAGTACATTTAAGTTTTTAATTGATGATAAATTCTTGCAATTATTTTATTTGTAGTTTTCTTCAAACCATAACATATTGGTACTCACCATCTTGTATTGTATTTGAGTCCTCCTTTCCAGTAAATTAAATTTTTTTTATTATAATTACAACTTCAAGAAATTATTGTAATGAATTGCTGGTTTTAAAATTATATATTACAGAAAGCAATATTAGAAACTTTATTTAAAAAACTGATGCCGGTAAAACCATGTTAAATATGTTGCTTTGCTTTGCTTCTGTAATTTTGTCAATTAATGACATTGACAAATACAACTGCAAGCAAATAATACTAAGTGACAGCGATATAGAGCTATTAAAGCTATGTCTACACAGTGCGTAAACTTTTGTGTCAAATGTATTTTGAAGGATATAAGTAGCATTTATATAACAGTATCTCAATTATTATTAATATTTTACAGCAATTAAATGCTTTCTTTAAATGTTTGAAAATTTTTAAAATAAAATCATAATTATAAAAATTTAATACACTACACATTTAGAAATTAAAGATATGATGTCTTTATGCTTACTTGTATTAATTGTGGCAATATTTTTTATATAAAAAAATCTGATAATAAGTCTAATAATTTTTATTATATATTTTCCATTAGACAAACTCTAATATCGTGGTTCATCAATGACTTTGATCAAACTTAGATTAAATCCCAGATTTTGTCATTAATATATCGTTATAATATTACTGAACTTCTTTAGAAATATTGAAACGCAAAATATTTTAGAACTTTCAGAACATTATTCTTAATTACAATATGAAAAGTGATTGACATATTTGCTTTTTCTTAATACATACAAATAAGTTCTTTACATTATTTGGTTCATTACCGATATCACAAAATTCACTTTTTTTCTAAATAATTACAAACTTTCTAAAGAATTCGATTACAACGGAAACGCTAATATACGTATTAACACTTTACTATCTTAAAATTACTTAAAACATTTGGAAATTGAAATGATAGGAATAGAAAGAAACAGGGGTGACTTCAAAACAACTAAAAATAAAACAACTAAAACGCAATAAACTCAGTACTGCCGCAATAAAAGTTATTTTTTTTTTTAAGTTATTAAAAATTATAATTAATCAATAAAAAAGTATGATTTTAGATGAACTTTTTAAAATTATTGCAGTATTATTGGTGTTTTATTTACGTGTTCAAACTACTCATGTGCTTATATGCGTAGTTTATAAATAGAACGATTTTTTCCGGTATATGAGTAAAACATAACTAATTATAGTTAATGTCAATTAAATATTTAGAGCTTTGACAGACATGCAATTTTTAGTTTTGCAACTGTTTGATTGCTTATTTGTGTTCTGTAGGTTTATATTCAAGCGCTCATACATACAATTGTATGATCGCTTGCAAATAAACAATCAAACAGTTCGTAATTTTTTACAAACTGATTACAATTTCAAGTTAAAGTAATTAATTTAAATTGAAAAGTTTAGTTATTAGGTATGCACTCAACGATTTTTCGATCAAGTAATTGCAACACTAAAAACTGCGTGTCTGTCTGAGGGTTATGCTCTTAAATTAGAGCTATCAATGCTCTAATTTAAGAGCATTGAAATTTGAAAATCTTTTAATTTGTTTTCATTTGTGCTTTCGAGAGAAAATGTTAAGAGAAAATTCACATTAACAAAAACAAATTTGTTCAAATTCAACTTGCGCCAAAACACATGCTTTAAACCAATTTCGAATATCATTATTAATTTGATTTGGCAATACTCTTAAAAAAATTATCTACTTTGCAACATCAAATACGCGCGTTTCGTTTCTTCTTTTGTTTTTTTGTTTGAATATTTAAAATTATAATTTTTATTTCAATATTAAAATACAAAATATATTGAAATTTTGTTTCTCTAAACGTAATCATATATTTTTTGTGTTTTTAAAAAAAATAAAATAACGCGAATAATTTATGTGTTGTTCTTTAAACATTTTGACAACTAATGTAGAATTTTTCTGTATATTTAAATAAAATTGCAAATTTAAAATTATATTACAAATAAAATATATGTATGTAAAATAAATCCCAATGTAAAAATGCAAGCAGTAAAAGACGAAAATATATCATCACAAGCAGCAGTTGGAGGAATCGGTGAAACTCAAACTCAAGCATCTTATGTATGGTCACAAATTGAATCTCAACCAATTCATGTTGTATGGGGCCAATTGTATTCAAAGAAGGCGAAAATAAAAAATCTTGGTATGCGAGCTCATAAATTTCTACTAATGAATAAATCAGGTTCTTTCGGTAATGTTAAATAACACGTCTCATCCAATTAGTAGAAATATATTTTTAATTTTCAAATTTAGGGCCTTAAATTTTAAAAAAAATTTTTTCAACAGATTTGTGTAAAGAAAAGTTTTGTGTTGGACGGGCAGAAACCAATGATCTCGTTTTAAAAGAAGATGATATTGAGCATAAACATCTTTGTAGAATGTCAAAAGAACATTTTTCTATTAGTCGAAATCTTCCAGCTGGCTTAAATCCAGTTTATATTCAGGTAAAAAAAAGTATACAAATTTTTTTCATATTTTTTTTAATGTGCCTATGTATGTACATATATATAAATGTATCTAAAATGTAATTTGACCTAAAATAGGTAGCCAGGTACGTATCTACCTACCTACCTGTTTAAATTAGGAAAAGATTTATCATTGCCATTTTGTTTATTGACCTTTTGTTTACTTTATTAATTTGGGAACTAAGTTTTTATAAATAGATCCAAACACATACATACACGGATATCATATTATACATATAAAATACGAGGTTAAAATGGCTTAAAACAGGATTATATGAGAATATGAACACAAAAAAAAAAAAAAATTCTTGTAAAAATAACTATCCCTAGCAAATATTATGTATTTCGTGCAAGTAGAGATCTATCGCAATTTGTTTTTGTATTTGAGAATATATTATATAAAATAAAAGAATATCTATATAATTATGTATTTCTTATGTACATACGAACATGAAATACGCATACATATACTTAATAATTATGGATTTAATTTCAGGATTTATCAAGAAATGGTACTTTTGTTAATGGCGAGAGAATTGGAATGAATAAAAGGAGAATTTTAAAGCATGATGATATAATAGCATTGTCATATTTTAAATATCAAGGTCAGTTGATTAATATATAGAATATATTTAAAAAAAAAACGTTTGCATTTTCAATAAATTTCAAAAATATTTTAGTTTTCGTATTTAAAGACTTAAGTCCAAATGAGTCAAATGGCTTACCAAAAGAAATTTGTGATAAATATTATATTGGAAAAAATTTAGGATCTGGTGCTTGTGGAACAGTCCGTTTAGTTTATGATGTAAGAACATGTGATGAATATGCCATGAAAATAGTACAAAAAAATCCATTAGCCGAATCAACACGTTCATGTAATTTAAATGATCCAAATCGTGTTTTGAATGAAGTAAAAATCATGAAATCTTTAGAACATGTAAGAAGAATAATTTTCAAAAAGTTTTAATTCAATTGTGATTGTTTAATATTTATACTTGAATTTTTAGTTAAATTCAAAAGTTTTTCATATTTGTATTTTTTTTTCTTTCCTAGCCATGTGTTGTAAAAATGCATGATATTGTAGATAAAGCTGATTCAGTATACATGGTGTTGGAATATATGAAAGGAGGTGATTTATTAACAAGGATAATTAAAAATAAAAGACTTTCGGAAAAAATATCAAAATTATTTTTTTATCAAATGTGCCATGCTGTAAGATACCTACATGAAAATGGTAAATAAATGTTTAAAGTCAAATATTATTAGAATTTAATAAATGTTATAATAAAAAAATTATTAATTTACATTAATTCCATTTTGTTTTTAGGTATAACTCATCGGGATCTTAAACCTGACAATATTCTATTAGAAACCGATGACGAAGAAACTTTACTTAAAATTTCTGATTTTGGTTTAAGTAAAAATGTACGAAAAAATTCTGAATTAAGAACATTATGTGGAACACCATTATATGTAGCACCAGAAATTTTATTAACCGGTGGTCGAGGTTCTTATACAGAAAAAGTAGATATCTGGAGTCTTGGTGTAGTTTTATTTACAATGTTAAGTGGAACATTACCATTTTCGGATGATTATGGTACACCTGCTACTGAGCAAATAAGAAGAGGTGATTTCAAATTTAATCATCCATCATGGAAAAATGTTTCATCAACTGCTAAAAAATTCATTATTGAAATGTTAACAGTTGATCCATTTCGTAGACCAAGTATTAATTATGTTTTAACACATAGATGGCTAAAGGATCCAGATATTATAAGAAAATCATGTAAATTAATGAATTTAAATAATTTAATGTCAGATGATGAAAATTTCTTAGAACCACCAGCTAAAAGACAAAGGATTTTAAGAGATCCAAAACGTATATAAACTGTTAAAATGATAATAAGTTGTTTTTCTTTATTTAACAAAAAAAAAAAAAAATTAAAATTCGACATATTTTTTTTTAAATTCTCATTATTATTAATATTTTTAATTTTTAATTGAGAATTAAATGTCTCACTAATTATAAATTAGTCTTGATTAAACATTGTAATAGACAAAGCTTTTAATATAAACTGAATAACTATAGAAAATTATCACCTATACCTAAGAAATAAAATTAAAATTAGGTATTTTTGTGTGATAGTGGAAAACTATTTAAAATAGTCAGTTGATCAATGTACTAAATTCAACAGTTTCTTTTTTTAAATTAACAAAATATTTTACGTGCTATGAATTTGTGTCTGAGAGTCTCTTTAACGAAATAAGTTTCAATAAAACATTTTTCTTTTATTACTGTTTCAAATAAAGTTTTAGATACATATTATATGCATATTTCAAAAAATTATTATGGCTAGTGGTTAGATGAAAACAAAAAAAAAAAAAATTGAACATGTAAGATGTGCCAAAATCAAGAAGTAGATTAAGAAATTTTATAAATTTATAAGGCTATTTCGATACAAATTGTACCTCATTTTTTCATAATGAGTTTTTTTTTTAATCTTTTATAAAGATATATACATATTTGAAATCAGACAATTTATAAACATAAATTAATAAAAATATTTCAAAATAAATAAAGGACATATGTATGAATGTATGTATGTAATATATTTAAAATTACATTGAAAATTAAGGTGTGTTTTTCATTTTCGTATATCTTTATAGATAAAGGGTATTATACGTTTTTTAATGTAATTTGCATATTCAATAAATATTTGGTAAAGTTAATTACAACTGAAATAACTTGTATAAATAAGGATTTTGTCCATCAATTAGGTATCATAATTTTGAACGCCTTGCAAAGTAGGCTGACCACTATAGTTATTGTATAGTCTAGAACACAATTAGCTGCCTTAGCTTGGATAAAGTACCTATATAGTGCACGAACATTTTGAATATATCAGACATCCATTGCTTAGATCAAGCATTAAGCATATCGCCAACAGGCGCTAATAAAAACATCATTTAGTCGCCACCATGCAACTATCAGTTATCAAGCAGCAGCGTCATCATTTATGGGAAAGGGAGAGAAAAAGAGGGAAGAGCAAAAGGGTAAGTAAAATAAAATGACGAGCATAACTTGTCACAAAAGTCAAAAGTCTTTAAGATAACACAAAGACAAAAGTCTAAATTTAAGAATACCCTTATTAATAGCAGGATCAAATACCAAAGAATTAGAATTAACAGAACGCAAAATTCTGGTTACCGACTCATTCTTACCATAATCACTAGAATGATAGTAAACATTGTACAACTCAACAGACCCAAAATTCCTTACGTTATCTCTAATAGAAACCTGACCTAACAAAGAAGGAGCCACAGTGGCCCCCGATACGAGCTGATAGATAAACACTATGTTAACGGCAACCCTACGTGCCTCAAGGAGTGCAAATCGATCAACATCAACCTAGCCCCATACGACGGCAATCTAAAAGGACCAAACCAGCCCAAACTCCCCAAAGCAAAATGCAAAAATTTCTTCTGAACAGATTCAATACGAGAAGCATCCACAACATGAAAGGGCGTCCAAACCTGACAAGCATACCCAAGAATTGGCCTAACAAAGCACACATACAAATGCTTCGCAACATACGAATCCATAAACTTTCCAGCCCACCTCATTACGAAACCCAGGTTCGAATTCAAAAAGATATGTAAATACATAGTGCTTTTTATAATAGTCAATATTGTAATATTGATATGTGAATATCTTATAAGACTTGCGATAAAAATTAGATTCTCATGCAACACTTGCATACTATCCCGACTTTTCTCAGTATGTTTTATTGTTTTCCAACTGCAACATTGTACCTATTGAAATGTTCAATAATTCTCTGAAATTTCTTGTCGCATATTCAGACGGAAAAATGGTTAAAATATGTACTGTATTTTGTCTTTATAGTTTACATTAAATTTAATTATAACAATGTAACCTGTAATTTTGCAGAATTTTACAGAAGAAGAAGAATATAAATGGTTTATTATAGTGGCATTGACCAAAAAGTAAAAGTATGATACAATGCCAATAAAAGCGGAGTAAATGATGAACAAAAAAAAAACTAATTTCATACAAACAAGTGATCTTCTTTACCACTCCCCCCTGTCTAAATAAACATAATTATGTATTTCGACAACGATTATAAAAAGTTTACATAGTAACGAAAACAATTCAATTTCAATTTATATATATTTTATAATTTCATTGTTTAAATTCATAAAAAAAGAAACTTAACTTAATGTTTTAGTTTATTAAAAATATTCGGCTATAATATAATATAATTGTTGGAACTTGTTACCACACTCTATCTATTAAAGTGCTATCTTGAGGTTTTTGCATTTGATTCACCATTTGCTGCTGATAACGCATCATGTTACTTGGCCGCCTTGGTGGTGCTAGATACTCAAACATACTTTGTAAATGTTGAGATAACATCTTGCTTAAATCACACGGCATTGGGTCACTCCAAAAGAAATCATGATTTAAAGCAGTATCAGCATCACATCTTTTCTTTGGATCCAACATTAGCAACTTGTCTAATAGATCACAACCGCATGAATCTTTAACATATGGTCTTAATCTTTCTTTCACACGTCTCTTGTGTCCTTTTGGTAAATCTAATGTTTTATATAGATCCAATTCTTCAACACCTGGCCAAACATCAGGTGTAAACGAACCACATAATTGTGATATATATATTAATTGCTGTTGCTCGGTATTGCCTTGCATTATTGGTGAACGTGTCCACATTTCTGCCATTATGCAACCAGCACCCCACATATCAACTGGAGGGCCGTAATTACGATCACCTTGAAAAAGTTTTGTTTTTTATTTTAAAGAGATGCAGTATTACGAAATTATTTGGATAATTTTTATATATGTATGTAGATATGTATTAATACTTGTTTATATCTACATAAGTATATGTGTTTAGTTAAAAATAAGAAACCCATTTTTAATCTTACCCAATAAAAGTTCTGGCGGCCTGTACCATAATGTTACGACACGATTTGTGTATCGATTTTTTTGTTCAGCTGATTTTGGAATACTGAAAGCTCTTGCAAGCCCAAAATCTGCTAACTTTAAAATTCCTTGTTTTGTTATTAAAACATTGGCCGCTTTCATATCTCGATGCAAGATCTTATTACTATGAATATAATATAAACCATTGAGCAGTTGTTGCATTACTTTTTTTATTTCCCCTAAACTAAATTTAACATTGATATTTGATAGTAAACCAGCTAAATCGTGTTCACAAAAATCAAATACCAAAAAGAATGTCGAACGATATCCATTATGTACAGTAGCTTTTGTACGACAAATTTCAATTAAATTTACAACATTTTCATGTTTTAATAATTGTAAAATTCTTATTTCACGTAATGCAGTTATTGGAAAACCTTCTTTTTCATTGTCCATTAGAACTTTTTTCATTGCGACGAATTTCTTGGTACTTTTTTCTCTAGCCTTGAAAACTTCACCAAAAGTTCCTTGTCCAATTTTTGCAACACGCTCATATTTACTGGACTCACTGCAATATAGAAAGTCATATTCTTCAATATATTTTTGTTTTTCAGTCAAAATAAATCCTCTGGAACCAGTTGAGTCATCACGAACACGTGATGACATTTTTACTGTTCTTTGTGAAATTTTTATAGTTTATTTATAAAATATTAAAAACGAAAATAATTTTTTTATTGATTTTAATGTTAAATATCTACAAACGATATTTTCCCTTTTTTTTTATTTTCCAAATATACAATAAATATAAAATTTAAGTATGCCAAATAAACGTCAAATGGTGACAACTCGAAAATATGAAAATTAGTTATTGTGAATAGTCTTAAAAAAAAAACAAATCACAATTAAAAAATTTAGGACGTGTTCATAATTTAATAAATATACTATGTAATTACTTATTTCTTTTTGAAAAGTTTCATTTATTTTGATGATTACAATTTTATAAATTATGTGTTTTAAGGTAAAATAATCAAAACTATTTACTTCAATTACTTGTTGTAAGCTAATTTGAATGAATTTATGTTTTTACTCTTTTGTACTACATATATATATTTGAACTGGTATATTATATTTTTTACATAGCACGTCAACACTTGACGAAATTTGTATTAAAATATTGAAATTGAAACACATAACACATTTCATATTATTCACTTGTCAGCTTTCACTCTTGTTAAAATACTTGTAAAGACGAAGTGAATTTTTACAAAATATATACATATTAAATAAGATAAGGGATTTAAAAGTAAAATTAAAAAAGTAATTGCTTTGCAACATATATTAATTCGTAGCTTGGAGACTTTGTATATAAGGTAAGAATTAGATTTGTTTGTTAGAAAGTTACCCCAACATTTAATTAAAATTCAATTTGTTTACATTTAGGCGCAAAGATAATAATATATTTACTTATGTATATGCCTGCAGATAAGTAATTGCATAAAAAATAATAAAGGAGCTATATATGTACATACACCATACATATTGTGAAATAAGTAGACTTGTATAAAACATTGAACATGGAATTATCTTCAGGATGTTTGGAATCAATTCTTTCAGGGGCTGATTATGATAAACCTAAATTACAAATTTTAGGAACTAAAAGGATTTCTGGAAATCAGGGTACTGAAAGATACAGGTTGTTAGTTTCCGATGGTAAACATCTCAACAGTTTCGCAATGTTAGCAAGTCAACTGAATAATTTATCTTCTTCTGGACAATTATCAGATTTTACAATAATACAGGTTGATAAGTATATATCTTCTGTATTAAGTAAAGATAATGGAGATAAAAGAGTATTGATAATTCTTGATTTGACTATTATGAAACCCGGAGAAGAAGTCGGAAGAAGAATCGGTAATCCACAACCGTTCACATTAGATCATAATGCAGAAACAAGCAAACAAACGGAAAATTCAAATAAAGTAAGTGAATCAGTAAATACTCCCCCAAGGCGAAATATAAGGCAAGAAGAACCAAACAGTAGTTTGAACCAATCGTTTCAGACTGATTTGATAAGTCCTATATCAAGTTTAAGTCCTTATAAATCAAAATGGGTAATAAAAGTTCGAATTCTTTCTAAATCACCAATAAGATCGTGGAGTAACGCCGGCGGAGAAGGCAAGCTTTTTAGTATGGATTTAATAGATGAATCTGGCGAAATAAGGGCAACAGCATTCAGAAATGAATGTGAAAAATTTTTTGATATGATAGAAGTAGATAAAGTTTATAAAATATCTAAATGTCAGTTAAAACAAGCTAACAAAAAATTTTGTACTCTAAATAATGATTATGAAATGACCTTTACGCCACAAACAATTGTTCAACTTTGCACAGATAATGAAGACGATATTCCTCAGGCTAATTATAATTGGGTCCCTATTAGTCAAGTTTCTAATATGGAACCAAAAGCGAAAGTCGATGTAATTGGAATCTGTCGAGAAATTGGAGAACTTCAAACTTTTACTGCGAAAACGAATAATCGTGAATTAAAAAAAAGAGAACTAACTTTAGTTGATACTAGTAACGCAGCAGTTCAATTAACGCTATGGGGTGATGAAGCAGTTAAGTTTGATGGATATGTTCAACCAGTTATTGCAATTCGGAATGGAATTATTAGTGAATTTGGTGGTGGTAAATCAATTACTATGGTATCGAGTTCCGTAATGAAAATAAATCCAGATTTTGCTGAAGGACATAAATTACGTGGATGGTTCGATAATGGTGGTGCTGAAAACATTTCATCAAATATTTCGAATAGAATTGCAGGTGCAGGATCTGGATTCACAAGTGAATTAACAACATTTTTTGAAGCAAAAGTTAATAATTTGGGTATTTCTGATAAACCGGATTATTTTCAAATTAAAGGTGTGGTGCATTTAATAAAAAATACGAATCTGGTGTATAAAGCTTGCCCTCAAACAGAATGTAATAAAAAGGTTATTGATGAAGGGAATGGAAATTATCGATGTGAAAAATGTAATGCACTTTTTACTAACTTTAAATATCGCCTGTTATTAAATTTAAATATCGGAGATTGGACTTCAACTAGATGGGTTAGTTGTTTTAATGAAGTTGCGGAAATAATTGTTGGAAAATCTGCTCAAGATGTTGGTGAATATTTAGAACAAAATTCAGAAAATGTTGAAAATATTTTTGAAGATGTTCATTTTAAGCAATTTACTTTTAAATTGCGAAGTGTACTTGAGAGCTATGGTGATACACAGCGTACAAAAATTACTGTATTAAATGTTTCTCCCATTTGTTATAAAGAATATAATAAATATCTTATAAAAAATCTTCAAACCCTTCTTGCCGTTGGTAAAAATTAAATAACATGTACATATATAAAAGCCGTACTATGTATAGTACAATCGAAGGCGATTGGTAAATTTGTTATGAATGAAGAAAAATTATGGAATTTTAATATTTTTTATATTAACTTTGACTAAATCAAAATAAACATACACATAAAAAATCATAACGTGGGCACCTACCTACTAAATTTTTTTGTCGGAATTGTTTTATTTGTGGGTAGCGTGATTCGATTAAGTTAATTATCCTATTTTCATTTAATTGAGAAAAATTTTATTGAATTGATTATTGAAATTAAATCATTTAATTTTAAAATTAATAAATTATGTACCTAACTAGGTATACATTTTGTAATCAGCCGTTTGTGATCCAAATTTTTTAATTTTTAAGATTTTTATTGATCAAATATAATTTTTTTATAAATTTTAATGATTTTTTTTTTATATTAAATATGCATATATCGTATTGTTAAAAATAAAAACCAATTTAATAATTTTATTTATTTATTCATTTTATTTCTTTTCTTTTGTTTTTTTTTTAATAGTTATACATTTAAACATTTTACTTTTTACTGGAATTACATACACTTGGGTATAAGTGTATGAATTAAAAATGATTTTTCTTCATTGAAAATTAATTCTTAAAATTGATAATTAAAAAAAAAATACGAACAGTTTAAAATTATAAAATCAAAAAAATACATTTTACAAAATACACAATATACGTACATACATACATATTTGTAAAATAATAAAGCTTAAAATTTGTTGTAATTTTGTACATATATTGACGTATCCTTTTGAAAAAAAAAGTAAAAAATTTTTAATTTTTATGTAAATTATTTATAATTTATGTACGCGTTTAAAAAAAAAAAACTATTAACTTTACACTCAAAATATTGCATTTTTAGTAGTTTTTTTCATTTTCTTATTAAATAAATCCTTAATAATATTATAAAATTATATTTTAAAACTTCCAAGATCATTTATTTAACATTTTTTTTTTTTTTGTAATTATTTCTTGATTTAAAAATGCATTGGCACATATTTAATATTCGTAATTAAAATTTATGAATTTGAGTAAGTAATTTTTTTTATTTGTAAAAATTAAGGTTTTCTTAAAATTAAAATTTCATTTATTTACAATCTAAGACAATAATATTAATGATAAAAATCATAAAATTTATTCAAGAGTAAAACAAAATTCTAATTCCTTATAAACTATTTTAACATTATTATTATTTTTTTTTTTATTATTTATATTTATAAATTATTTACAGTCTCAATTTTTATAAGGAGTTTATTGGCAATTAAGTATTATAAAAGCATAATATTATTAATTTTGAAAATTTATGTAGTATATATAAATATATATAAATGGAAAAATATTACATAAATGATTTGATTAATTAATTTTCCATACATTTAGTAGAGATTTTCCATGGACTTGACATATATTGAAATGGTACATGAAAACTTTGTCCTTTATGTTCAACAATTAGATGACCACGACAATGTGATGCACCAACAACAGTAACAGTTTCACCTTTTTTTAATTGTTCAACTGGTGGATTTGTAATAGAATCTTCAGGGAAATTCATTTTCATTATTCTTGTTTGAGGATAACCCAATTTTGAATTTCCAGTTACTGTGTATGGTCTAGATGGTGGAACTGGTGGTGGTCTTTCCTATTTATTATATTATTTAAATTTTAAAATGAATTAATGATTTTTTTCATATTCTTATAAATAAGATAATAATTACTTACCAAATCTAATCCAAATAGAGTACAAGTTTGTTGAATTATTTTAGAATCACATTTTTCATTTGGATCTGGTGGTGGTGTACCAGCTATTGGTTGAGGTCTTGGTCTCGTTGTAGTACCCGTTGTTGATGAAATTCGTGGAGCTGAAATAATTATATTGTAGATTAAAACATTAAATTATTTAATTTTAAAAAGTAATTTGCTTCTTTTTTTTTAATAAGTACTAAATTATTTTAAAATAAATATTATTATGTATAAACTTACCAGCGTTCGGCGTACTTTTATTCAGTTTAGTTGAAGTTAAAATGATTTCTCTAGGTCGACGAACAGTACCTATTCTCTTTCTTAATTGCCATCCTCTCCATATTGCCTGTATAAGTGTTGCGCTCTTTGTGCGTACATCACTTCTTAATTTTTCTAAATGTTGACGTATCCCTTCACTTAAGAAAACATGTCGTTTACCAGGTGCCCAGGATAATGTAACAGAACCATCAATTTCTGGAAGATTTTCCATAGCATATTGTAATATTAGGTCACAATCTTCCAAAGCTTTTTCTTCGCATCTTCTCAATAATCTGAATGGTGCCAACATTTTGTATCTTGCTGTAAACTGCTTAAATCTCATACGATGAGGAAAACCCGATGCCATTAAATTAACTGTTTCAAGAACTTGTAACGCACGAATTTGTTTAACAACAGTGATCCGTTCAAATTGCCCTGGAATTTCGTTTGAATTACTTCTTATGCAACGAACAAAATGTGGTCTAGCATGAACTAATGTTCGTAACAAATTGTCTAAACGTGTATGGAAATCTTGTGTTAATGTTGAAACTGGTTCATCACCATTTAATAAATCTGTGTGACTTGTTGGAGCTATACGAAAACTTAATCCCCTTGGAACATTTTCCATTGCGTAAAGAGCTTTTAATTCTGAACCAAATAAATGCGTTGCAAAACCAAAATTACATGTATGTTTATAAAAAACAGCAACTAAATCATCAGGTACAACATCACGATTAGTATCTAAAAATTCTGTTGCATCATATTCTACTTTTCCAGCGAAATGTCTAATTGTAAACATTCTAGGATCATGTAATTCTGTATGCTTCGTCTCTAATCTAGTCGAGTTACGGTGTTGCACCTGAAAACGAAATCATTTTTACAATTTAATATTTTTTTTTCTCATTTTATGAATTGTCATCTTACTTTAATTTTAGCAACATAACTTTCAGCAGTTCCTCTTACTGAACATTCAGCATCTAACATACTTAGTAGTCCAGTTCTTAGAGATGATATTAAATCGATACATGGCACATTATCTACATAATCAACTTCGGTATCACATAAAATACCTTCATCACGACAAGATTCAACAGATGATTTAAAAATATGTGTATTATAAAAATGTTGCATTGTTTCAGCACACAAATTAATACATAAATGTTCCAACTGAGCTGGTGACTGTTCTTCAAAACCAAACATATCTAATATACCGATAAAACCGTCAGTTGCATGTCGTACAGCATTATTTAATGCCGCCATTGATTTGGATCCAGAATTTCCACCAATAGTTGAAGCATGTTGGCTAGCCACATCACCTTGATTATGAACTGATTCATTTGAATCGGAACTTAATGTACCCAATGTCGAACCTAAACGTTTTAAACTATTTGCACGTCTTACTATTGTTGCTACGGTACGGCAATATAAAGCTTTTGCTAGACAATCTCTAGTCATATTCGACATATTTGCATCGCAAACTGATTTAACTAATTGACCACGTGCATTATGTGTACGTGTTGTTAATCCGCGAAATAATGCAGCTGGTGGTACACCAAGTAAACCTGCTACAGAATTTAATTCGGCTTCTCCTTTGACATCGACTTCAAGTCCCTTTAAAGTAAACGAAATAAGTATAAGATATTTTTGTACATTTTTATATTATATATAATTTAATTAAACATTTTATGTTGCACAATGCACAGTTATTCTTTCGATATATGATAAAAAAATATTTGTGTATCTTTGCTCAGGTTAATTAGAATGTTATCGTCAGGTTGAATTCAGACGTAAATTACCCATTAAAAAACATCATCGCAAAGATTTCATACAATTTTTAATAATTTTCATCGCGAAACGGCATCGAACCCTGGCATCAAATATTACGAATAAAATATAATTTTGCGTTCTACCGCTCTCACCAAATATAGAACAAATTCTTTAAGTTCTTTGTGCAATTAAGTGACAATCATTAATAAAATTATTTTTTCTTCTGCTTTATAGATGTCGTTTCAATTGTTTAATTGAAAATTACTTCTTCTTTCTAATATTAGATGTCGCAGTAAAATTAAGTGTAAATATATTGTTAAGCTATATTAAGTTTTTTAATCACGAAGTTTTCTTTTTCTTTAACAAAATTTTGATTTTGTTTTAATTTAAGAAAAATTAATTTGAACGTACGAATACATGAACTCTTATTTCTAAATATTTTCTAAGGAATAATATATAATATTTGTTTTTCAGGTTTTAACTCACCTGACCATCAACAAATTGTACATTTCCCAATAATAATACAGCAGCTAATACTCGAACAACATCTAAGAATGGTATACCTAGAATACCAAGACATGTTTTCCATGCTTGAAATCTTGTTGAATCTTCAACTTCATCTTGTTGTGTATCACCATTTTGTAAATAACGTAAATTTGTTGGTGTATAACCTTCTAAATTTAATTTAATGCGTTCTTCACGACTTAAACCAGCTAACATTTGATAAAATATATGATAATTTTTTTCATTTGGTAATGGTCGAACGACACGTGTTTGATCCAAAAAATAACAATGAATTTTTGTTCTATATAAAGCACCATCAGTTACTTGCACCTCAATAAATTGCCCCTAGAAAAATAAATAATAAAATATCAAGCGAAAACTATTTAATTTAATAAAAACATGAATTTTTTAAATAAAATTTTTTTAAATAACTTACAATTCGACTTGATTCCGAATTTGTTGTCGTTTTAGCTGATCCCAATGACCTTAATACTGTAAATGCTGCTGCTAAATGTTTAAATGCATCAGTTTCAGGTCCACCACCAGCAACAGCAAATAATTGTCTTAAAAGTAACATTGAACAATGTGTTTTACCAGCACCTGATGTACCCGATAATATTATGGCTTGTGGATAACCAGTTTCTGCTTGTTGTCGTACAGCTTCTTGTACAATACGACGTAATTGATTTGCTAATGGTAATGAACGTGTTGATGATAATGTTAATGGATTACCAACATCATGATATGGATTAATTGATAATAATATTGGTCCAACATTTGTCTAAAATTTAAATTTATTATTGAGTATATATTGTAAAAATTAAAATAGAGCTTAAGAATACGTATGTATATTAAGAAAGAGGCTATTTCAATTAATATTAACCTATTTCTATATCATTAAAACATCAGAAACGATACAATCAATATAACAATAAAGAATAAGTGGTATAGAAGGAAGGATAAAGTGCACGTGTTGCGGTCAAATATATTGCTGGTTGTCGTCTCTTTTTTTTTGTTTTTTGCTTTTATAAAGGGTTAGGTGTCACATTTCCTGTAAATATTCGTTTTTTCTTGATTTTCTTGATTGATTTTTTTATGCGCTCTTCTTTTTTGTAATTCTGTTGCATATTGTGCTGAAAATTCATCATAATTGTTACATTGAATCGAGCGCAATGATTACAGAATGTATTGAGCGTTTTCATGCTTTGTTAATTTGGACAAATAATTGATTAGTGATATTAAATTTCAAAATGTTTTGACATACAAAATTGAGTTTAAGGATAATAAATAAAATAAATTGTATTCTTAAAAAAAATGTGGACACATAATATATGTCCACTCGTCCATACATATGCTACAATATTTTGTACATAACCAAAAAATTTTGAAAAAAATATTAAAATTTAGGATGTTGAAAAATGTTCCTTGTTAATTATAGGATATAATGTCGTAAATAATTAATTAATTAAGAAAATTTCATTGAGATGATAGAGGTAAAAAGTTTAGTAAACTGGGTACTATCGGTTAGAACTGTATTCAATTTACTTTTGAGATCAATAAACAATATTGATTCAAGGTTCGCCTTACCACATTTATGTGCCTTGACTAGTTCAACTCAAAGGCTTGCAAAGGCTTAAAAAGTATTTCAAAAAATTTAATTAAAATAGTTTAAGTTTCGAAAAATTATACACTTTTTTTCTTTATATGTGTGATACTCGTATTAATGTGTTATAGTTATTGCATACCTTCAGGGAGGAGCAGTATGTACTAAGCATAAAAGTCGCAATTAAAAATTAATAGTGTTACAAATTAATTAACTAGTTTAAAATATTTAATTACATTTTTTGATTGGAAGCTATTTAGTGTTAGACATTAATTAAAATTGTGAATAATTTTAAAAATCTTAAGATTCTATTTAGAAATTTTTTTTTTCCGTTATTTTATTACATTTTTATAATATGATAATATAGAATTTTTTTATTACGTATATTATATTTTAAATTATATATAGATATAAGTAATAGTGCTACGATAGTACAATAACTTTACAATTGTAATAGCATAATAATATAGAAATGATGATAGCATAAGTGTAAGCAATGTTGCTATGATAGTATTTTCAATTTATAATGATAATAGAATAGCATAAGAAAAGAGAGAGGAGGAGAAAATATACCTTGTATTACATTACAATACAACTGAGAGTGAGAGAGTGTGATGAACATTTTAATGGTGTTAAGTTTAAGATAAAAATTTCTTAATGAACTTCACAACTTCTTATTTTATACATATTTTTTTTCAATAAATTTTAAAAAGAATCGCATTCAATACACAGCTATGACAGTAAAAAGTAATTGAAAAAATGAATGAAATATTTATGCGTTTTCTTCATTTCTTTTTTTTTCTTTTTTTGTACAACAAAGGGATTTTCTTGAAAAAATTTTCACACTATAAGTTCTTCAGATGCATTTATAAATCAGAATATTATTTCATACAAAATTATGTACGTATATGCATATGTAGGCACAAACGTATATTTGTTTAATAAAATTCCAAATACATTTAATATTTAAGATTATATTATACAATTATTAGTACAATAGAATATATTCATAAAAACAAATCTATAACAACTAGTATCCAAATTCCGAATGTACAACTAGTATCCAAATTCCGAATGTGGAAATTTTATATTACAATTCAATATCTGTGGTAATGAGGCAAACCTAGCTTTAATTAATTTATTATACAAAATATTGACGGTAGGCTCGTTAATTATCTAGTAAAACTCAATGACGCAAGAAACTGGTTCATGGTTACATATAATCATGATCATGCGCCAGCTCTATGCTCCTCTCAGGAGCGCAATAGGATTAAAAAAATATATGTATGTACCTATAGCTACAAAATTTGAATCGTATTCAAATAGGTTTTCCTCTATTAGTTTTCAAAATTTGATTTAATTCGGAAAAATTTGAGAGGATCAAATTAAAAGAAAAAACACCTTTCGAAAATGTTTGAATAGTTTTATTTAAATTACATTTCAAAAATAAAAAATATGTGATTTCCAAAATTTTCTGCCTGATATAGGACTATGGCTGATTGCCACAGATATTTGTGTGTCGTACCTACCAACATATGTAATTATTATTAATTCTGGTTCTAAAATAATTTCACGATATTCTTGTTATTTATGTTTTATTGAAGAAATTCTTATCATATATATGTACGTACATTTTTAATATAATATATGTATTATATAATGGTATTATAATTAATCTTAACTATAATAATAACAGAGAATAATTACTGTTAAGTTATAAGAAAGTTGTTTATTGCATTGCATGAATTTTTATTGATGCGATACATAAGTACTCATGCACATATCTACAATATTATTGTAGATATTCTGACAATCTATGTAAAAGCATGCATAATGAAAATGTGTATGTACATATGTACATATACATAAGATTGTAAGTATACAATCATTATTTCTCCTACGTTTTCTTACTGTCATCAATATTACTCGATTTATTGATATTTTAATGTTAAATAAGTGATGATTTTATTTTAATAATGGTTTAGTAAGTATATTACATTATTTGCCTTCATTAAATATTGAGTTTATTTGATTTAATAAAACATGCAACGCCAGCTATTACTCTAGTAGCTGCAAAAGCCGGGTATTTAGATGTAATGTAGTTCGAGTTCTTGTCATCCATTAGTCAAAATAATTTTTGAAAATATTTCAATTTTTAATTTTATTCACAACTTTCACTTATAATACCTAGTGTACTTGAAAAATTCCAAATTTTTAAAATAGCAAATATCTAAAGAGAAACTACATTATGTATATCTTCTACATTGTCACTGTGTTTTTTACATTCCTACAAAATATGTCAATGTCATATTTTTCGAGAGATGAATAGCAATATTTTTCAATAAACTCACTATAATAATGCCAAATTTGAGAATAGCACAAATATTACTCTATGTCCTTTCATGAGACAAAAACAAAAAAAAATAACTCAGCTCAGTTAAATTTTAACTCCTAACAATCAGCAGATTTTTCATTTCATAATGCCGCACTCCATATAATTAAGATTATAACCTCTTATAACCTCTTATAAACCTCTGGGACGGTTTTAAAATAACTTGATTTACGAGCTGTTTATATTGCTCCCACTCTACGACGGCAAGGGTCGTACGAAATGTCGTTATCGCAATATTACATTGGCAGCGTCAACGACAGTAATTTAATCAAAAACAATCTACAAAAAAAAAAGAAAAAGTTTCATTAATTTTTCAATTTCGTCTCCTTTTAAAAATAAAAATGACGTTTGTATCAATTCAATTTTCTCATCGTATGTCATCGTATTTGGCAGCGATAAATATTCAATTCTGCGGAGTTCTCCGATTGTGTGTGTCGCACGTTGATTGAATAATATTTTGACACTTCGTGTTGATGTCGCTGTCGCAGTGCTGCAGTGTCGCAGTGATATAAACAATCCCTAACAAATAACTGAGCTATTTTTTGACATTTATACTTATGATTCGTGAAAGGAACTCGTGACAAAATTATTGATTTTAAAATTTCAAAATGGAGTGAATTAATTTCAGTAAATTAGGTAAGAATTTGTTCTTAACGGAGCACATAGCGATATTTCATCACAAAACAGTAAAGTTTCAACAGTTTGCGGTTCTGATACATCATAGGCGTGAATGAGCAAATAAGGCAGAGTTTTCATTACACTGAAATCAATTTTCAATACTTTTAATCTCTATAATTTTTTGTTAAATATCCAATATTATTTATACTTTTGCTCCGTAAGCCTGTTAAAAAGAAAAATAAAAATTAAAAAAAAAGGAAAAAAAAGGTAATAAAAATGAAAAGAGAAAATTTCCGTCATTTTAATAGACACCTGTATTAGTGCTTGCAATTTTAAGGTGATTCAGGTACAAGAACAAGAGTGATACTCTCTTTTTTACTTTTATTTTTTTTTTAATTTCTTGTGACCGCTTTTTAAATTTAAGATTATTAAAGATTTTTAGTGTAAAATCGGAATATCAGGAGTGTGTACAATAATATAAAGAAAAAATTGAATTGAAAGAAGAAAAATGAAGCAATGCAATAAAAAATTTAAAACGCGTCTAAATTTTTTTCTGTTACTTCATTTGTGCAATTTAGAGACACGAGGTGCTAAGACTTTTTATAATATTAAGACAAGAGAAAGAAATTGGTTTACAGTTTACGAGTTTTTTTTTACATAAACGTGTGTGGTGTGTATACAAATTTAATATATTTAATTTAGAAATTTATAAAATAAAATTCATTTAAGTACGATCATTTTGGCAAAACGTTTGAAGTCTACCGAAATGCAGGTTTAACGTAAACTTTTTTTATTTAGTATAACAGAATTTTAATAGAATAAGATGCGAATTAAACTAATGATAGTACGACAGTACTATGTAAAATGCATATGATAATATCAAAAAAAAATTCAAAAATAATTAAATATTTTAAGAACAATAGCCGAAATTAATTGAATTTCTCTATATCCATTCATTCATACTGAGATAAAAACTTAAGAAGGTTATATTCCATAGGGTTGTTACTTAATCCAAATCCAAATGATTTAAACAACCAGCTTCAAAATATAAGAAAAGTCAAGTGATTTTTTTAATTGTTTTCTTTTTTTTCTGTTTTGGTTCATACAACAATTTCACTGTTCGTATAACAAAGTCCATTTCATTCTGAAAACAGAAGATAACTAAGAG